AATGGGAATAGATATCAATCGACATAGAATCGACGTCAATTCCATTATTATTTTTTGGGTATTAAGCATTACGAATTTGTTTAGTTAAAAATTCTCTACTTTAAAATAGATTTCCTGCTTTAAAAATAAAAATTTGAAATCTATTTTAAAGCAGAGAATTTTTTAAAAAAGAATTTGTAATTGTAATAATTTTTTTCTCGCTAAACGAGTTTTATCTCATCACTTTTCGCGCATAGTTAGAATACATGCACAAGGACGTAATATTTATCTTTTTTACTGAAATCGGTTAATAAGATCAGTATAGAATAGATGTTTTTAAAGCAAGATATATATTTGTTTTATATAGCAGAACTTTTTTTGCTAATAACTTTTTAATAAAAGACGAGTAAAACCTGTTGAAGATCGTGACCTCAAGGTATTATATTTACGTATTACATTTACACTACAAACTAATTTTACAAATAAAAGAGAGATACGTGAACAAGTATGGATATATATTTTACATATGATTATACATATTTATGAATATTTATGTGTTTAAACATATTTATACATATTCGTGCATGAATATTTTTCTAATCTAAAAAATGCATTCTGTGACTGTCAGATTAACAAAGTCAGATTAAAAGATTAAAGTTTCTTAATGAATGCGCATTTCCTGTTCTCGATTGAAATTATATAATAGGTTACACTTATCTTTGTAATTGAATTTCTGCACGCAATTATTCTGATACTATACATATATACATTAAAGTAGTATACATTAAAATTTTTCATAATTCAATGCCAAAATATGAAAAAAATACCCGGTAAAAAATTTTTCATGCATGAATATGTAGAAATATGTATAAACATACATAAACACACATAAATTTTCCTAAACATGTATAATTATATATGTCTATACATGTTAATATATCCTTCTTTCTTTTGTAAAATTACTTTTTAGTGTAATAAAAATAATAATAGTAATTTAAAAACATAAAAAATAATTAAAAGAATAATTTTTGCGTTGTTTGTTTTAGAAACAAACAAGTTTGGAAAAATGTAAAAAGAATTGCTCATACACAATTATGCATAATTTTATATATAATTGTAAATAAGTCATTTTTTTATAATATATTTCTTCAAATTTGATTTTTTTGTAAAACAAGTAGTGTGAAAATTACCCTTTTAATTATTTTTAATGTTTTCACATTACTATTTCTATTACATTTACACTAAAAAGTAATTTTACAAATGAAAGAGAGATACATGAACAAGAGACATATATTTCACATATGATTATACATGTTTATGAATATTTATGTGTTTATACATATTCGTGCATGAAAATTTTTTTACCAAGTTAATTAATATTATATATTATTATTTACTATTAATGTAATGACCGTGATTATGTAATTATTATAAAAATTAAATTAATTAATTACTTGAATTAATCTTATATAAATATAAAAAGAAATATAATGGCTCAATTTGAATAAATCAAAACATAAAATGTTGGGCAACGAGCCAGAATATAAATACAAAAGAGTATTTAATAATATTAGATTACAAACGTTTCGACTCCGATCGAATCATTTTCAATGTTAGAAATTTAAAATTACAAAATAATCACGTCGAAATATAAACCTTAACAAATAACGTGAATATGTAATCATAAAAAATAGTCATAAATACTGGAAGTTGGTATAGACGGAAAACTGAATTTTTTGGACACTTTACTAATTATTGAAGAACAAAGACTTATTTTTGACGGATATTGGAAAGCAACTTTTTCCGATAGATTCCTTAACTATTACTCACACCACTCAATTTGTCATAAGAGAAGGGTAATATATGGTGTCATGGATAAAATCTTTCGTTTATGTCACCCTTGTTTCCAGCAAAATAATTTGACTAATTATATAACAATTTTTTTAAACAATGTATACCCCTTACAATTTATTTTTTCGACTATTAAAAATGGATTAAATTTCATATCAATAACTACAATAATACCAATAATAATAATAATAAAATAAAAGACAAATTTTTTACAGTTCCTTTTAATTCTATTTCTGAAAAATTTGCACCAATTGCGAATATGTTTAATTGTAAATTGGCTTACATGACTCCGAATATGTTAAAAAATTTAATAAAGAGAGGGAAAGACCAATTGGAACCGTCACAAAATCAGAATGTTGTCTATAAAATCTCGTGTTGTGATTGCGATATTAGTTATGTTGGTCAGACAAAGAGACAATTAAAAACGAGAGTGCATGAACATATTTCCATTATCAATAAAAGGAACAAATTCCCATCAGTGATTTCTAATCACCGCATAGAGAATAATCACATTTCTGATTGGGATAATGTGGAGATTTTAGATATGGATGGCCCTCTTATAATAAGAAATTGATATCGGAAATAATACGCATAAAAAGACAGAAACATGGAATTAACAAACAGAATGATACGGAATCACTGTCTGAATCATATTCCAACATTATACAATCTCTTTCTTCCTCTTACTTTCCCTGTTTGTCCCCTTCCAGTCTTCACTTACACTCATGCTTGTCTCCTGGTTGTCTGTGATCATTACACTGCTAGATATCGTCAGAGTCTCTTATAGTGTTGTCTGCATTATTGTTCCAATCTTTTAACAACGATGTAAACTGGCGGATTGTTTTACATAATGAACTTTTCTTTAATAATGGACTTACAACTTTATATAATAAGGTATTTAGAAGTATAATTTTTGTACAATATGTATCAAGGACTTTATATTAATTGTAGTATTAACTGTTTATAAACATGATAATTTTTACAAAGATAAACTTGTTACATCCGGATTGATTTGGTTATGCGATTTTTAACATCATTTTTGGAAGAAAAAGTTTACCAGTATTTATGACTATTCTTTATGATTACATATTAGACGTTATTATTTGTTAAGGTTTATATATTCCGACGTTATTATTTTGTAATTTTAAAGTTGGTTTCTAACATTGAAAATGACTCGATCGGAGTCGAAACGTTTGTAATTTAATATTATTAAATAGTCTTTTGTATTTATATAATATCTGGCTCGTTGCCCAACCTTTTATGTTTTAATCTTATATACATATTATATATAGTAATTATGTATGTCAACATATCATTACATTGATTCAATAATGACAATAATAGTAATAATAATAATGATAACATTAATGATTATAATAGCAATAATATTCAATGCTTATATGGACATATACAGCGGACATTTCCGGGGCATACAACAGACATCCTTTAAATATTTAATGGATGTGCTTAGAACATCTTCAAAGTGTCTTATTTGGTGTAAAGAATTAAAGCTCGAATTTCAAATGTATGTATATGATGTATATCAGAAATATATTAAACATACATAATGCAATATTGAATTTTGCGGTTCAGTCCCCGAATACGTCTTTTGGATGTTTTATTTTTATATGCAGCGTAACTTGCGTAAGCGGAACTTGCGTCAACCAATCAAATCATATTAAATTGTATCAGCTACTACGCGTTATTCTAGTTGAGACAATTTCATTGACTGACGCAAGTTACGCTTACGCAAGTTACGCTGCATGTAATAGCAACCTTATAGGACGATATTTATAGTCCGTTCTTATTAGGTTAAGTAAAAAGTCATCGCGTTTTTTTAAAAGACATCTCAGTAAAAACCGCAATTACTTTCTTACCAACAATATAAATATATCTTAATAGAGTAAAGTTTCAGCTTTAAAAATCTCTTTTTTAAATTATACGATACGACAATTTTTAATGGAGTTATGAGCAATTAAAGTCAAAATAATTCTTTTATTTAATCCGCGATAACTCAGTAATCAAAAGTCGTAGGAATATTAAAAAAAAAACGATTTTGTAGGAAAAGTATCAAGCTTTCACGATAGGTAATCGAACATTTTCTCAAATTCGTTTTGGACACGTTACAAATCCACAAAGTGAGAAGAAAATTTTTCGTCTTTTTCAGCTCGTAGTTTTTGGTATGTAAAAATTATCAAACTCATATAAACTTAAAAAATGTGATAAGCTTTTAAAAGTAGAGATTTCAAGCTTTAAAACCCTTTTTTTTAAATTTGAATTTCATTCATTATTGACGAAGATATTGTATATACAACTTTGAGCTAAAAAATATGCGATGACTTTTTACTTAACCTAATATTTCAAGACTGTTTTAAGTAATATCTTAAAACGTTAATACGGCCCTCTGATTGGTTTGTTACTTCTTAAGACTATACTTTAAGACGTCTTAAATATAAGAACCGACTATGAATACCGCCTATAGATTCTACCGTAGATACGCTAAAAACGGAACGTTCTTCGGACGTCCATAACGTTCAAGACGTTAGGACAACCGCAGGACTTTTGAGGACATACAACGCACGTTCAAAAAACGTCCATGTGTTGTGTGGGGAGTAACCATCGTGTGGTTTTTTTGAAGTGTAACCATGAAGGGTTAATATATGATATATTATTTAGAACATTTTGTGTTATGACTTTATGCTCCTTTTTTTGTACTTCTCGAGTTTTAAAAAATTATAATTATCTAATAATTCTGTGCACGTCTTCATATCGTCGATTAGTATTTAATCAAACCATCTGTAACATATTAATCGCGAAAAAGGAAGTTATTATGCGTCAAATCCAGGAAATTATTATGCGTCAAATCCAGGAAATTATTATGCGTCAAATCCAGGGAAAAATAAAACTAATCTATTATTTATCTTGCAATAGTACAAAATCATGGCAATTATGTTCATCTCAGGTCTAATAATAAGTTTTTATTTTCTAAAGAAGTAGCTAGTATGGGGGGTCATTAATACGCTAGAAATATTATTCCTTCTTTACGATCGTATTTTATGATTATCTTTCCTCATAAATCATTTAATAAATATTATCTTTATCTTTTTTTTATGCTGCGTTTGCAATCCTCTGTGGTTTTATCATACTTGACATTGACTTGTTTGTTCCAGGTGGCTCAGATTGGAGCGACAGATGAGTGTTCAAGCATAATCGGTCCTTATCATTCGATCGGTTTGGACAAAGTGCATAACGGAAGTGCATAATGGAAGTATTGATGCACGAAGCAAGCAATCGGCAGGAAAACAACGCATCAGTTTGTATAGTCGAACCCAAATCTACGTCCAAAAGACGTGAGGATGGTACGCCATCCGACGCCACGCACAATAATGGCAAGGAACCGGTCGATATCATCTTCGAGAACATCACTTACACTGTCAGCCAGCGTTTCAAAAGAGGTAAGTTATCCTCAAACTCTTTTTGTTACATATTAGAATAAAAAGTCACTCAGATTACAAATACTGTATAAAAATGGAGTAAATTTGATCTTTTTGATAATGCCCAAATAGCACTCATGTCAAAATCGGGATGTAAATTAAAAACAACGTTTTAAAAACAATGTAAAAATGTTTTAAAACGTTTTATATCCTGATTTTAGACACTGTAAGCATTTTTTCAAATTGAGATAAAGTTTTCTTATTTTACAAGAAAAGAATAGTTTTGTTGAAATACCTAAAAATTTAACTAGATACCAGCCTAAAAATAATTTTGTTAGATTATTATTACAGTAATTATGCAAGACTTTCAAATATGATAAGTGATGCTATAAAAAGTTTTTACATTTTAATAACCAGCGTCTCATACATGTCTTTACTCGTAAAAGGTGTGCAAATTAGCATCAAAGGATTTCATTATTTTTTCCAAGTTAAAACCAATTGTAGATCAATCTTTAAAAAAAATTTATATTTTTTTTATGCAGAATATAATTAAACAATATTAAACACAGAACAATATTAAACAATTAATAAAATATTTAATAGTCAATATTTAATAGTCAATCAATAATAATTAAAAAAAATAGTAAAAATTAAACATTTAGCAATAAAAAAGAACAGTTAAATGATGAATAGTAACACTTTTTGCGTATAGTCATGTATATTATTTTATATTCTAGCTATTTTGATACTTAAAACAAATAAATCTTTTCGAAGTGACATAATTTGTAAGATTTGACAAGTTTTTAAACATTTTTATAATAAATTTATGCAATAAAAGTATTGTTATAACATAGTGATTAAACAACACTTGCGGACACATTTATAATCTGAACTGAATATAACGTTGATTTTGTCCATGAAATCTATAATTATTTACTACCTACTATAAAGCCATAAAGCAATTCTTATGATATTACACTTTAAATGAATTTTTAAAGATACGTTAGTCAACCTCGTACATTTAATTATTAATGACATCAATAAAATGTGTAGCACTGTATCTAACAAATTCAATTCAATTGACATTTGAAAAAGATAAAACAAATGCTAAAAAATCTTATTATATGTACTATTTAATGGAGAATACTATAATTATTTAAATATAAAAAGTGATTCGAAATTGCCTACTCCTCATCCAGCGCTTTTATCCTATATCAATAACCTTAATATAATGTATATTATATAAAAAATACCTTACAAAGGCAAAAAAAATACACCAAGTACATAAATGCACAAAAGTATGCAATAAATATTTAAAAAACTTATATATTTATTAAAAAGTTGACTGTATTATATATAATAAATAGTATTTATTTTTTTACCGCTTTCCGCAAAGTAATTTTTCATTAAATTTTAGCACGTATGCATATTTTGCAAAAAATTAGTTTTTATGTAAAGAAATATTCAATACAACAATAATTAATCGATTATAGCATCAGTGATAATTATAGAAGAAAATTTATTCAGAGTTAAACGAAAAACTAGCGTAAATAACGATCTTTAAAACGTATTAAGCATTAAATAATCATCACGTTGAAAAAAATTTCAGAGGAAAAAGAAATCTTGCATGGTATTAGTGGAAGACTTCCTAGCAAACAGTTGATCGCTTTAATGGGACCATCCGGTGCGGGAAAATCCACATTACTCGATATTCTGTCCGGTTTTCGGACAACCGGAGTGGATGGTTCCATATATATTAATGGTCGTATTCGACATCTTAATAATTTTCGAAAGTAAGTACAGCATCGATATCATTAAATTTGAAATTCTCTAAATTAGTAATTTATGTAAAATGTGTATTTAAATAAATAAGAGAATTAAAGACATTTTATATACATCTTGTTCTTTCTTCTTTTTCGATTTTACATTATGTGTATTTACATTATTGAAAATTTCTTAAGAATTAAATATTGTTTTCGACATGGATGTCGATCGTATATCATTATGCGTGTTTTAATACTTCTTTAATTTTCTCTTTAGATGCAGCGCGTACATCACGCAAGACGATCGATTAGAACCTCTGCTCACCGTGATCGAAAACATGAGGGTCGCCGCCGATTTAAAATTGCCTTCGAGCACACCAAAACACAAGAAAGAGATGATCGTGAGTAAAAATTTGGCCAAAACTATTTAATATAATTTAAGAAAGAAATCATTATGAAATTTATTCAACTAGAATTTATTCAAAGAAAATAGAATTATTACATTTGTCAGATCTAATATTTAATTAATATACTTTATAATTATTATTTAAAGATAAAGTAAATGTTTACCTTTACACAGTCAGGCCCAAATGACCTCCAAATGACCTAAATCTTGATCTCGACTCTTAAGGAGATCAAGATCATTGACTTTTTCCTTTGCTTCGAGTGAATAATTTTATTTATTAAAAAGTTATGAACAGATCAATTTTAATGAATAGCACAAAATTTTTAAACATAAGATACATATTTCAGCAGTATTTTTTTTGACAGGGGAAGATGGAAGTGAGCTTTACGTGTAAAGTCGCGCCCCTTGGCAGGGAGGAGGTGGGATGGAGTCGCTTCAGGTGAAAGTTGCGCACCCTTAAGCAGGGGGGAGATGAGGTGGAAATTGCTTCGCCCCTTGTCAAGGAGTGCACGACTTTCCACTCGAAGCGACTCCCACTCCACGTCCCCCCTCCCCCGCTTAGGGATGCGCGGCTTGCAACCGAAGCGACTCCTGTCCTACTTCCCTCTCCTTCTGCTTGGAGGGTGACATTCACCTGAAGTGACTGCCACTTCCATCTCTCCCCTGCTTGGGACCGCACGACTTTCACCTGAAGCGACTTCCATATATCCCCTCCCCCTACTTGGGAGACACAACTTTCAAGCGACTCATATCCTATCTCCCCCTTGCTGGGGGGCGCATGATTTTTACCTATTCCTATCAAAGGAAAAATATTACTAAAATATGTACTTTATTTTTTAAAATTGTGTGCTATTCATAAAAATTGTCCCGCTCATAATTTTTTAATGAGTAACGAGCGATAGAAAAAGTCAATGATCTTGACCTCCTTAAGAGTCAAGATCAAGATCAGTTGGAGATTATTTGGAGTTGACAGTGTAAAGGTAAATATTTACCAAGGATAATGTAAAAATGTCTATTACTATCTGATTTGCACTAATATTAATCTTATCCTATATATTAATTAATTAACAAATGAGATGAGCTGATTTTAAGTAAATTATAGTACTGTAGAAGAATTAAAATACAATGTTTTAGATTGAAGATATTCTTACGACACTTGGCTTGTACGAACATATGAGCACGAGATCCGATCGATTAAGCGGCGGTCAAAAAAAAAGGCTCTCTATAGCTCTTGAATTAGTCAATAATCCCACGGTGATGTTCCTCGACGAGCCAACCACGTAAGCTCAATGTAATCTTGATTATTCGATGCTGTTTAACTTTTTTGTCCGTTTTATTTACAATTTAAAAAGATTTAATAGCTGTTAAAAAAATTTAAATTCTTTAATTTAATATCTTTAATTGCTTCTTAATTTATTCATCTTTTATTCTCAATAAACACTTAATGAAGACATTTACGTAAATGCAAATAACATATTTACGTTAAATCTTTCTGTTAACTAATTTTTTCATCTTACAAAAAGAAAAACCTCACTTCGAGCAATTTAGTTATTTATTTATTTATCTATAAGTTATTTATATTAATATATTTTTAAATATAAATTAAGTATTGTTTTATTTCTTTATTAAAATTGATAAGAGTTTCTCTATCTGGTAAAAATAAGCAGAGTCTTTAATTATTTTTTGTTTTACTTTATTATTTTATTGCGGTATATATTATCAACATATATGTATTGTTATATCGTAGTACTAGTCTTTATTCGTCGCGGTAAGAATTCACGATTATTTTACATATTATATTACACATTAACATCTCTATGAACAATTGTCATGATATTAATCTTTTTTTGAAGTATAATACATAATACCTAATTTTTAATCAAAATTATTTGTAACGTTTGATGGAATACCATTAATATTAGTTCAATAAAGGATTGTTCATTAATGTTGTTATATTTGTTACAGAGGTCTGGATAGTTCATCTTGTATGCAAGTCGTAAATTTGCTAAAAATATTGGCGCGACAGGGGAGAACAATAATTTGTACTATCCATCAGCCCAGTGCGTCTTTATTTCAATTGTTCGATCAGGTAAGTAAATAATCACAGAAATTACTATAAAAATCTGCTTAAAAACATGTAAGATAATTAATAATATTGTTTCATGCGATATCAATACACAAACAAATTGTTTTAAATTTCATATTTACCCAGTAAACACAATATTACATGTAACATAAATATAATATGCAATGTCTGCTCAACAAAATAATATAACACACTGTGTTGTTAAGCTAACATTGCATGTTACATGTATGTTAGATGTAACACTATGCTTACTGTAATATGCGTTTATAATTAGAATAATAAGAAAATTAAAATTCTTGCAGGTGTATGTGTTGACGAATGGAGATTGTCTGTACCAAGGAGCAACGAGTAAACTCTTGCCATATCTAGAAAATATGAAATTGCCATGTCCTATGTATCATAATCCGGCAGATTACAGTATGTATAATTACTCTTATAAATTACTCACACACGACAATTTTATTCGTTTGATCAGCTAATATTGAAGTATGCAAATATTGTAGTAATTGAGCTTGCTTGTGGCGAGTATGGTTTCGATAAAATCAATACATTGATAATGGGGTCGCAAAATGGACGAAATTTGCAGTGGTTCGACAATCCAGAAACCTTGAAGGATGCGAAAAGTTTAAGAGGTACTTAGAAAATAAAAAAGATATAAAAATTACTATGATAATAGAGAATTATGTAATTACAATGATTATCTTTATTGTTAAAAAAATATTACTGTATATACAGGGTATATAATTAATGATAAAACTCTTGCATAGCGGCAGAATGGACTAAATTGAGTCGAAAAGTCCTGTATTATTTTACAATTTTTGCAATAGTTAATAAGATATTAATTACTAAAAATCGCCAAATATTAGTTTTCAATAATTTTATACTCAAATACTATTAATTTTACAGAAAAACAGCAAGAGACAAAAATTGTTTATTTTCTTTTTATAAAGTTCTGAAAATTTTTTAGTATCGCATTTTCTCATGTTGGTAAAAATAGTTGTATATATGAATAAGAAAATGCAGTACTAAAAGATTGATAAAAAATTCTGAAAAAATTTTTACAGTTCTATGAGAAGAAAACAATTTTTATTTTTTGCCGTTTTTCTGTTGATATTACTTGAGTAAAAAATGATTAAAGACTAATATTCGCCAATATATAGTAATTAATATCTTGTTAATTATTACGAAAATTGCAAAATAGTAGATTTTTCGACTCCATTTGGTCCGCTCTATCTACTCACGAGTGCTTTGTCAAAACTTACCAGACATAATATTATATACATAATATTATATGTATATACATAATATGTATATATATAATATTATATATACATACATGTAATATATAATTATATATGTATTGTATATATTATATATAATATATGTACATTAACATTAACAAGTGATCGTTTTTAATATACGTATATTGAAAAGTATTTATTTATAATAAAGTATATAATATTTAAATGTTCATTTTACTTTTATTTTAAATACCGTTGTGCATTACTTAAAATATATTGTTAAGATTGAAATTTTATTGCAGTTACTTTAAATTTATGTAAGCAACATTACGTTTAATTTTTGGTTTTTTTCAGCGGAATATCCTTTGAGAAATAAAGTAAATGATAACAACGGCTTACACGCGACAAATCTTGTTCATCAAATCAAGATCTTATTAAGAAGAGGCTTTATCATGTGTAAACGAGATACGGTAAGAATTATTTGTTTATCTATTGCGTTTTAATATACATGTCAATGATGATTTTAATCAGCAATATACTTACTCTTGAAAGTTCCAAAAATTATTTGAAATCCTTCTTTTTGAGATTACGCGGAGTGTTTTTCTACAATTGTTTTATTGATTAAATTGAATAAAATAAATAAAATTTCTTATAAATATTAAGAACTAATATTTTAAGAATTCAGAGAATGTGTAAGTTGTAAAAAAATTCCAAGCGTTTTCGATCTGACGTAAAAAAAACGCTTGCATTACGATCACACGAATTCTACTTAACAATATATTGTGCACAATATATCGTAGACTCTGACACATTTACGTATCGCTGTTAACATACTCGTTGGTGTAATGCTGGGCACTGTTTTCCTGCGATCCGGCGCCGATGGTTCTCGCGTTTTGGACAATTATAATCTTTTATTTGCTATCCTCATACACCACATGATGACGACGATGATGCTCACGGTAGTTACCTGTAAGTATCCGCGTACTTTCCGTAAATGACTTGCCGTGACTTTGCGATGATTAACTTTCGCAAATGAGAGTTTGTATAACAGAAAGCATCTTATCTTTGATTCGCAGTTCCAATGCAAATGTCTATCCTCTTAAAGGAGCACTTCAACAGATGGTACAGTCTAAAGGCGTTTTACACGGCGATAACATTGATTGACGTGCCCATTTCGATAATGTGCTGTGTACTTTTCTCGATAATCGTCTACTTTATGTCAGCGCAACCATGGGAAATTATTCGATTTTCTATGTTCCTGGCCATTAGTCTATTAATCATGTTTATAGGACAAGGTACTGGGCTTATGATAGGTGCTGTATTTAATGTCGTGGTAAGTAATCAAGTATTAATTAGAACTATTGTTGATAATTATCAGTGATACTATTCGTAGGCCGTAATGTTTGTTATTTAATTATATATACAATTAGTATCTCTTATCAATGTTCGATCTTCTTATTAATTTATTATCAAATATTATTTTTTTTAACTTTGATATTATCAAATGCGTCATTAATTTGTTTTTTTATTGTTATTGATATGGTATATAAATTTATTGTAAGTATTAACAATTCGCCCTATAGATAAGAATGTGTTGCATTTATTGCAAAATGTTCCATAAAAATGTTCAACTTTATAAATAAAAATAATGAAACTTTAGAAATAAAATTAATGAAAGATACATTTTAATTTGCAGAATGGCACATTTATAGGACCAACATTGGCATGTCCACTAATGATGTTCGCTGGATTCGGAGTATCATTACGTGATCTGCCAAGCTATCTAAAGTGGGGTAGCTACATCAGTTATTTGCGATATGGTCTAGAAGGGTAAGAATTACTTTGTAAATTTTGTATTATTTAGTAGCAATATACACATATATTTATCACGTGTATTTTCAATAGTATATATATTTTTAATTATTCATACTTATAATAAAATTTCGCATAATTTTATATATACTTATGGTTTATGTTTAAAGAATTGTGTAAATGATAATTATTTGATATAATATGTTGAATTAATCTAAAATTTATTAATTCAAAATTATATAAATGTAAAGTATTTAACGTTAATACTATTCAACGTTAATTTAACGCCGTAGGTTTGTCGGGGCTATCTATGGGCTGGACAGACCCATTCTAGACTGTAAAGAAAAGGGTGAGTTTTACTGTCACTATAAATATCCTTCGAAATTTCTCTCAGACATCTCTATGAGGGGGGACCAATTCTGGAACGATATTATCGCGCTCGCTACAATATTGCTCATCACACGATGCAGCGCATATTTATTATTACGATGGAAACTTATGTCATACCGATGATACTAATGGATCTTTGGAATGTGATTTTTTTGTGCTCCTACGTATTTAACTACGTGTTTAATAATTAAATGACTAGGAGATTTAAATATGTATTATACTCTTAATTTTCTAATTTATAGAATTTAAGTTTTGTTCGAAGTTACACTTACCGAATGTGTAGCTTTCAAAATATTAAAATAATTCAAAATATCGAATAAAGTGATTAATTGAAAATATTGGAAACTATCAAGAATGAACAATTATTTCTATTAGTCGCTCATATATTTCTCAACTTAAAATTTACAATAGGAACAATTAAATACGGATACAACATTTGTGATAATCGAATCGTACTCTGTATTTACTGTAGTTACTCTGTAATTTGCAAGTAAAAAAGTTCACATTCGAATGAGCACATTTTTGTGTCTGCAATAGGAATATGCGATTACGAGCACGAAATTCATACGTTCCTGTTAGCATTGCTTGTGCATCAGGAACAATGTATGTTACACAGTATACGGATTATTTTTTGTATGCTTCTGTTTGACATTTTAAGTAGAGTTGTGTCTGATTGTACGTTCTTGTTATTTTAAAGATTATCTAAAGTGATATACATAACAGAAGAAGAGTGTTAAGCGCTCGGTATATATTCTTTTTGTATGCAACTTTTGATAAATTATCCGATTATTTCGTAATAATCCGATTATCACGAATGAATAAGACTGTGTGTACACTACGTGACAAATGTATGTATGTATGTATGTACATCTTCAAGTTCATATTGATGGACATCGAAACTAGATAGGAATATGTAATGTTACGTTACGCAATATACTGGTTAATGGATACTGCGATGATTATATTTAATTTTTATTAATGTAAAGATAAAAATAGTTGTATAGCTTCAAGAATAAATCGAATACATAAGTAAACTGATAGTATAAGTTTTCGTGATTGTTGGTATGCATAAATAATATATTTATAAAGTGATAAGATATAATTTGTAAACAATTTTTGGTATTAACTAACAAATTTAATTGCAAATGTTTTGAGCCTGTTTTTGAGTCTTCTTTATAATGTGGATCGTAAGTATTACATTTTGTACATACTTTGCATATTAAAGAGGATTCAAATCCAGAGTTGAGATTGTTTGCTAATTATATTTTATCGCTTTATAAATACTAATTCAACAACTACGAAGGTTCATATCGATATTTTATTTTTATATTTTATTCAATTTTTATATTTAAATGTAATTCATGCGAAATGATATGTAAAGCCTAAGTAATGCTGCGTGATAATGTAATGTTAATCAGTAAAACATTTCTATCTGAAGAGAGAGACTACTTGAACTTATATCGGATCATATTCCAATTGCGTCTGTCACAGTGCTTGACAGCTAACGATTTTAATTCACTCGAGGTAAATACATTGAAGATAAAAAGTGTGGATTACGTCAGTCTTTCAATAAAAGAGCGATGCAAATTGTAAGTTACATAAAAACGTTGATTTTAAAATGCAGAAGTACTGTTTGTTAAGAGAGCTAATTATTTTAATATATTTTCTAAAAATAATAAAAACAGTTTTGGACTGCTGAATTGTTGAAACAGTAAATATATTATAAAACAATCATCTTTATTTCAATCCTTTGAAAATTAATTAATCAGCAGAAAAGATCTTTTATTATGTGTTCCTTATCATTATTATCATCGTCGTTATTACAATAACTTATGTTTTTTATCACATTGTTATAGATATATATTTGTATTTATACGGACATTTATTATTTTGTCATTAATATAAAAAAATAAGTTAAATGGAAATTCTGGGCTAGTTATTTGACGACTTTGTTAAGTCGATGCATTGATTATTCACTTATATCCTAAGATATATTAGTTTATTACTATTATATTTAATTTATTTTAATATAAAATGCCAACCTTTATATTGTCGCAATTAGTGTTATAAAAAATAAATCTTCTATATGTTTTATATTGTTTATTATATCAGATTTATATAACAAAAGGTACAAAAAGTTTATACAAACATACTAAGACCATAATTTCTCTTAATATTCTGCACACTGTTGCAAAAAAAACTTGCTCAATAGATAATTTTTAAGACATTTTGAAAATATTTTCTCGTTTAAGATAATGTTAACCAAATACATCACTTTTTTGCATGATAAATTTTCCAACGAAATACAGTATAGATGGTTACGTGTAAAAAGAGTATCCAGCAGCAAAGTATTATCAAAATTACGTGAAATGACATTGCTGGCATGCCCATCATCGAGAGAATCTTATTTGGCGAACGTAAGTAACAATAAATTTCCGGGCATACCAAATTTGTTCGATTAAGATAGACAGCTTGCATTATTCCTTCAAATGCATATCTGCAATAAAATTTTATGTTTTTTAAATTTAAAATACAATAAATATTAGAAAATACATTAAATTAAGAATTCAATAAAAACATGTCTTTACACATAAACAGAAACAACTCTTGATAAGTTATCATAAATTAAAAAATGATTCATATGGAAAAAATTATGTCTAAATAATAATAAATTTAGGGGAGACCGGAGCCGGGGTTATTACAGTTTTTGATTAATAACTTTTAAAAAAAAAGATGATTCTGAAATATTATATATGTTATAATATTATATATGTTATATATAATATACCTACATTGTTTAGGAATTAAAAAATATATTACTCGTCAATTATATCGTAAAAATAAGTTATTTAATTTTAAATGAAACTGTGAAAGTTTAACAATTAACCCCCCGTGTTCTGAGTCATACGTTCTAAGATTGGTTGCAGCATATTTATTATGGACAACACATATAAAAAATGTACTTTTTATTTTAATATCAGTTCTATATTTTGAAAAATAATAGTAATTATGGCATTAATACAAATAAATAGTAGTTATTTTAATTATAACATATGTAATATGTTTTTGTAAAGTAGTTTCTATATATATATAAAAAATGAAAAAAACATTGTATCTATGAAATATAATATATAATATTTGTAAGTGTATTATTTTTTAGATTTCCACGGGTGCTTTCTATATAAAAGTTATGCGTTTCACGGGTTTTCTCCGTGTCCAGATCCATTTTTAAAATGCCAATTTTCGTGAATCTTGCAGTCCACTTCATCAGGGCGAGGAGCAGTCGGATACTGAGCAGTATCTGGACACGAAGAAAACCCGCGAAACGCATAACTTTTATATTGTAAGTATATTCTCTAAAAATGTGTTCTCTAAAGATATTAAAATTAATTGTTTAATGTAATGACCTAACCTGGTCTCATTTTGATCAATCTACCCCACACAGCCATTTTTAATAAAAAAAATTATGTTCACAAACTTTGTCAGGATAATAATTAATTAATTGTAGCAAAGATCTTCTAAGACATGTAATTTCCTATAAATACAGGGATATCGCGATTAATAATGCCAAAGACTTGTCAGACAACAAAATAGGTAATAAGAAAAATTTACTCATCAATATCATTTTCTTAAAAATCGTTATAAATGATATATACAATGTTTATAGTGCAAATCAATTCACACAACAAATTAATATTATAACAGCAATCTACAATTTAAAAAAGAGATTTTTCTACCATGTTCTGTTTATAAGCATTTTGACAATCAATCATGTACGACAATCAGCTCCGGTCTTCCCTAAATGCTAAAAGTTGTTAATTGATATGTAGTATAAAATTGTTTTTACCTGAAGAAACTCACAAAGCTTAAAGGTTGCAGATATATCGACATTTCATTTAATTTCAAGAAAAATCCGGAGAACAGCAGTAATGGTATACTGGTTGCCGGTATTAAAAATATTCCTAACTAAAAGAAAAATGATATCTAATCATTACTTTCTCATATTAAATAACAATTGATTTGAAATTGTATACAAGCTGATCAATCCACTGGTAAATTTATTATTATAAATAAATCGTTTAATAATTTATTGACTTATTGCTATTATAAATAATTATAACCATTATATTTTCTGATATATAATTATATCAATGATATTTAATATTGAATTATTATAGTTTTTCTAATAATGTAAATATCTATTAAAATAAAAGATATGTTGTTGAAATACCTCAGTGCCAAAAGCTGTGCCTGTAAGTATCCCGAACGTTTGTCCGATAATCGTAATTAACAGACAAACGCTCCACGTTTGCAGAAATCTATCATATTCCATTGGCTGTCCTGTTATATAGTATGATATAAGCAGAAAAGGTGAGACGCAAAGTATCTAGAAATTAAATAAATTTGTAATTGATTTGAAAACCAATGATAATGTATTTATTTACAATATTATATTTAGCTAGAATTTCAACTCTAAAAGAAAAATAATTAATAACAAAATTATAACGCTGCATATAACGAAACATACCTGAATCGGCAGATCCGTTAATACTTTTACACTGTAATAGGCTTTTAATGAATACCAATTATTTAAATGTTCCTGCAGAAATACTGCCGCTTCCGTAGGAACTATTGTACAATCAGATACAATTACATAAGCCCGGAAAAAATGTTTCGTATATAAATTATATAATAATTGTATATAATTATATAAAATTATATATAAAAGTATATATAATTATATAAAAAATTGACGCATTTTATATATAATTATATGTAAAATATGTTCGTATACTGTATATAATATTTTCTCCCGCGATGATATAATTATTTTTCGAAATTCTTAAAAATTTATTACAATTTTTTACACATGGTGTATTAAGAATATTATCAAAGAAATTTTATCAATTTTTTAGAATTATATCAAAAAGATTACAGATAGTAATAATTTAATTATTGCCAATAGAATCATATAAATCATACATTATTACAATCATCGACACGAGATATTATTAAAAACCGTTGGCCCCGGGCAAATTTTCATGACTATTAATGGAGCCCTGGAGGCTTGGGGATAATTAAAGAACGATGACGTTACCAACAATTAATAAAAATTTATGATT